TGCCACGTGAATGCCTCTGACCTTTCATTGTCTGTTCTCATCACTATTCAGACTAGGAAAAGGCTCTATGCTAGTCACAGGAACATTGCTCCATAGAATACCAAGGTAAAATAATCAAATTCTTTCCCTACATCAGTTTTGCCTTGGACAAAAAGCGAGCTTCTTACAGTGACATCAAAGTTGAGCTTTACAAAGGCAGGACAGCTTTTAGTGTGTTATAACCAGCTTGCCTACACATTGTTGTTGATGGCAGCGGCCAAAGCATTCTACGAAAACATTCAGGACACTGATAATACTGCATGTTCCTGAACTATGTATATAGACTAAATCTGGTTTAACTGATTTCATAAATATCCTGATGCTTGGATATATTAAAGGGCCAGATTTAAACCCCAGTCCATATCCCAAGACAGCTGTACTGTTGTGTTTGTGCTGCTTGTTCATTCAGCTCAATGCACATGATTGGGCTTGAGCATGTTTGATTGTATCTTTGGCTTTTCAGCCACAGTCTCACTTGTTTGAATAGTATTGCTTCCAATTATTTCATTCATACACAATTATTTTGATGTTCATTTACTTTTTTGTATTATTAGGGCAGTAAGGCCTCACTTTAGAAGAGTTTAGGCAAGATTGTTGCCTGCAGCTCACGTCTTCTAGAAATGAGCATAGGTTGTTCTTCTAGTATGTTCATATCAGAAGACTGTTTTGGTGTTGCCATATGTTTGATTTTTTCCCAATTTCTCAGTTTTCCTTTTTTCTTTTTTTCTCCTCTTATTCATCAGGTTTTTTAAGAAAAATGTCCCTCAAGACAGTGACGACTGTACACATTGTACTGTACTGTAGTCATTAAAAGCTGTTTCTGTGGCTACTAAACACATATGCAGTTCTATGAAATTGAGTCAAACTAGTGCAGTCAATTTTTTATTCATAACTACTTAAATAAATTCATAAATAATCATTCTAAAAGTTTGCGTCAATGAAAAATAAGTATATCTGCTAAAATGTCCTCCTACATTTTCTGATCAAACCCTAGTGAATCAAAAATAGACAAAAATGCTGCTCTCAATGGAACCTGTCAATTATCAAAATGAATACTGAAGTCTCCAACAGTTGTAGGAATTCAGAATAGGGCAATCGGGCTAATTAGCAGAAATGATGGCATGGAGGGTTTTTTTTTTGTACGTATCTGTGTTCTATTAATAAAAAGTACTTAAAATTAGGTCAATTTATAATCTAGCCATGGGGATCACAGTCCAGTGACTTCTGTGCCGGTTCCAAGCCCGGATAAATAGTGAGGGTTTAGTCAGGAAGGGCATCCGGCGTAAAACATTGACAAATTTAATCATGCGAATCGTCAGTACTCTGAATTTCATACCGGATCAGTCGAGGCCCGGGTTACGACCGCCATCGGCGCCGGTGACCTACAGGGCGCCGGTGGAAATTGGGCTACTTTTGGTCGAAGAAGTAGAGGAGGGAGGTGAGTGCGTAGACAGAGAGAGAAGAGGAAAGGTAAGAGTGTAGGACTGAGAATAGGAACTCTGAATGTTGGTACTATGACAGGGAAAGGTAGAGAGCTGGCTGATATGATGGAGAGAAGGAAGGTGGATATACCATGTGTACAGGAGACCAGGTGGAAGGGTAGCAAGGCTCATAGTATAGGAGCAGGATTCAAGCTGTTTTATTATGGTGTGGATAGTAAGAGAAATGGGGTAGGTGTGGACTTGAAGGAGGAGTTTGGGAGGAATGTTCTGGAGGTGAAGAGAGTGTCAGACAGGGTGATGAGTCTGAAGTTAGAGATTGAAGGGGTGATGTTGAATGTTGTTAGTGGTTATGACCCATAGGTAGGTTGTGAGTTAGAGGAGAAAGAGAGATTCTGGAGTGAATTAGATGAGGTGATAGAGAGTATTCCCACGGGCGAGAGAGTGGTGATAGGAGCAGATTTTAATGGACATGTTGGTGAGGGGAACACAGGTGATGAGGAGGTGATGGGCAAGTTTGAAGGTAAGGAAAAGAACCTTGAAGGACAGATGGTAGTGGACTTTGCTAAGAGGATGGACATGGCTGTGGTTAACACTTATTTTCAGAAGAGGGAGAAGCATAGAGTGACTTACAAGATTGGAGGTAGGAGCACACAGGTAGACTACATCCTATGTAGAAGAGGCA